TCTGCATTAATTCACATTACTTTGAATCAGAGCTTGATATAGTTTTAAAGAATAAAATGTGAAGGAACTCATTTTTCTTTACAATGGCAGTCATGGACTAAGTGATCACAACAGGCATTTTTCTTCTTAATTACAATTCATTTTGATTAAATTAGTGTGCTCATCTGAAATTACCTTGTGTTTTAGGAAAATCATGAACTCGGTACATTTCTAGAATTAAAAATAATTTTTTAAACATTCAACATATCATCTACCCAGCATATTTTTCCCCTTGTTAATTACCATGCAGTTCATGGAGTAATTCATTATTTATGATAACTTTGCAATCATTAATAGCAGACTTTCACATTTCTTGTAAGGCAGGGCAATTTAATAATTTCTTACTGCAAATAAAAAAATTCCAGCTTAGGTACCAAAATATCCCAAATATTAATGGCTATGGCATGTGCACAATTGCTTAGAATACTGTAACATAGTTGCTAGCATTTAGAAAGCTACCACTATGTAGGAATATCATTGTATCCTAGTTATATATTATTTTGGCTCTTTAACCCTTTGTGGCTACGAGAGGTCTCCATAGGGGCTGGCGTCCCTGTCTACAAAGGCTAAGTAGCCTATATGACCTTGAGTAATTGCTTATCTAGTCAGGCATTTGGTTGACACAGGAATGGCAGAGGGCCTAAGTTGACATGGTCTAAAGGCAGCTGGAAAAAGGGGGCCAACAGGGAATAATCACAGCCCTGCACTGACTAGGCACATGGATTAGAGCAGGAATTCATTGCAGTAGAGAAGACAGAGTTAGTAGATAGAGATAAAGTCATTTCAGCCCATAGACTCAGAGAAGGTGCAGATGAGTAGGAAAGCAGTGATTTTTCCCACAGGCATCATGGCAGGAGTTTGGTCAAGAAGAAAGGAGGCTCCATGAGAAGTAAATGCATAGACCATCCGATTCCAGGTGCTCAGGTCACAGCCTCCACTCAAGCCACCCCAAAATAACTTTATTACAACATGAATAGCTGCCAATGTAACGAGTAAATAGTCATTTAAAGTGGAGCAAACTTTGGTCTCACGGCCTCCTGCTTAGTGCAGGGGGGTCTGGGAAGAGGTTTGGAGGAGTTAGAAGTATCAGTGAAGGAGGAGAAGGATGTGGATCCTGTTTAAAGGGTTACATGGAGCCTGCAGCCTTCCTGGGTAGATTCTATAGATCTGCTTTGGCCCTGGCTGCCTCCAGTTGTGGTCCCTGTGATTCATAAATGAGCTCCTACATCCTGTCTGATGCTTTCATTCCATGAAAGGAACATTAAGAGGGCCAGCTGAAGGTGAATCAACAACCTGGGATAAGACTTAGGGCTTTCTGTGCCCTGGATTTGCTTAGTGAACTTGGAAAAAAGACCTAATGTCTTTGGAACTCAGTTTTTCAGTAAAATTGATGAATTAAACTAAATTAATTAGCTCAAAGACTCTCTGCTAGCTCGAACAGTCACTAGGCGTAGACAGATCCTGTGCTCACTATTCTCGGGAGATGACTACCTAAGTGGTCTGAAGCTGGGAAGTGCTTTGTGACTTACTCATGATTTATTTGTAGAGCAAATGTAGCCCAGGGGGTCTGAGATGGAGATAGGTTGACCCAAGCACATTGATTCAGTGCTTAAATGAAGCATCTTCGACATGTCGCCGAGGACTGGAAGAATTTATTGATATGGATCAAGATCTACCGTTTGTCAAAGCAGCAGGTGCTGCAGAGGCGTAAGTGCTCTGACAAATGTCCTCAATCCCACCCCTACGCTTCCAATTATGTCACTTAGGAGTCCCCAGGGAAGCCTCTCCCTGTTCTTCTCCAGCATACCCCGTCCTTCTCTCCTACTTTTAAATCTTAGGAGTACCATTAGCTCTAATGTCCAATAGTCAACTGATTGACAGTTAAGAATTCATCAAAGGGGACCTCAGGGGACTTAACCCCATACCTCCCAATAATCCTCAACAACCCTCCAAAAATAAGCCATGGAAGTATAATACCTATAATAACAGACACAGATTTAGGACAAACTCCTGTCTAATTCCATTTGCACTGCCCACCTGGAACCTTAGGGACACAGACAATCTGGAGCTTCTGATGGGATTTAATGAGGCCTACTGTGTGCTTGGTCATTGCATGGCAGAATGACTAGTTTCAACTCAGGTACAGAGGCTCTAACAGCAAGTGTCTTCTGGGTCTTGTTCCTGAGTGGTTTGGGGTACCTTCTCAGCACTGATCATCAGACACTTAAGGCCTGTCTGACTGGTGTTGCAGAGAAACAGCCTTGGCAAAAGAAAGGGAAGCAGCCATAATAGCTTTCCGGTCTTTTTGGAGTGAATGCACTCATGTATGGTTGGTTTCGACTCACACTGGAATACGGGCTCCATGAAGCAGGGGCCTTGTCTGTCTTGCTCGCTGTTCTGGCTTCAGCACTGAACATAATGTTAAAACATGGGAGGCATTTATCACTGTAGCTTGAATGACCAATGAAGAGTACTTAGTGCCGTGGTTAAGAGACAGACCCAGCGATCCAAATCCCAGCTCCCCCGCTCACTAACTAGAAATATGGGAAAGAGTAAATATTTCTGTGTTGCAATTTCCTCATTTTTAAACTAAGAATAACAATAATCTATATTTCAAAGGGAAGTTGTGCAGGTTAAATGAATTGATATTTATAACCAGTGCCTGGCACACACTATAAATGTTTTTTTTTTAACTAAGTAGATTAATTTGTTTACATGCCCCAAGTCCTTTATTATCAAGGTTTTGTTTTTAGAACTAAAATTTGAGTTTGTGAGGACACATTTGTTGTTGTTGTTAATTCTCACCAGAGGATATATTTTCCATTAATTTTTAGAGAGAGTGGGAGGGAGGAAGGGGGAGAGAGAGAGAGAGAGAGAGAGAGAGAGAGAGAGATGGATGTGAGAGAGACACATAGGTTGGTTGCCTTCTGCACGACCCAGACAAGGGCCGGGGACCAAACCTGCATCCAGATACTTGCCCTCGACCGGGAATCCAACCTGCAACCCTTTGGTCTATGCACCGTCGCTCTAACTGCTGAGCCAAACCAGCCAGGGCAGAGAACACATCCTAAGAAGCTGGGCCCAGACACAAACATACTTCTGCCTTAACACCTCTGCCTGTGCAGCTTTCTACTTATATGATGAGCTGAAGCATCTCTTTTCATCAGTTTTGTTCACACGCTACTTGACTACCCTTCTTGACTTCGAGCTCCTTGAAAACAGACTCCCTTCAAGAAAGCCTGATTGAGAGTGGGTGCTCAGTGGTTTTGAAATGAATAGCTGTCTTGTGTGTCTTCTTTTGCTCACACCTAGGAAAGAACTCACAAACCCCTCCCCCCATCCGGCTGGTTCATTTTTACCCAGAATCCATTAGTGTCATAAGTTCATCCCCAGTCCTGGTCACTCCACCATCCCCGTCCCACAGTTATCATCACCAGCACTGTCTCTGTTTGATCATCAGCTCTCTTCACCCTCCCTTTCGCTTTCCCCCAATACCTGTTCTCTCTTCCTCTACCTGTCTCCTCCACTGGCTTGTGAACTTTGACCTTTGTATTTGCAATCTTGCTTTGCCTCTGCCTTTTACTTCTGTCAGGTCAAGTCCTTTTGGTGAACTGTAAAACAATTAATTTCAAACAAAATATTATTATTATTCTTATTTTTCTTTGTAATATTTTAATTTTTTCATTCACCCTCATAATTGCCCCCAGGCTGTGCCATTGTTCATTAGAAACCCCTCTTCTCTCATGGGCTACAACTTCTTCATGACAGTGTTTTCTAAAATGTTATTTTGCTATTGTTTTGGATTATGTTCAAAGTTCTGCTCAGAGCAGTGATTTAGTGCCAACTTTACCTGATTTAATTCACATCTCGCGTAAAGTGTGAGGAAGCCAAGTAGATGGCATGATTCACCACCCAATTCTCTCACGCCAGTCTCTGCCTTTGAAGCGATTCTGATCTGCTTAGCTGGGTGGAAATAACATAGGAGATATTTAGACAGTAGTGCAAGCAAGTCCATAAGACCAAACCTTCTGAACTTAAATCATTTGCTCACAAACTCTGAATTGCTCCCAAACCACCTTAGTGTGAGGCCATTCTGTGCAAGTGTAGTTATACATTTGGTGTTCTTTTATTGTGCATTTTTAGCTATTGCCGTCCTAGTTACTTTTATGTTTTAAACTGCACAGGGATCAGGACCTCATCTTCTCCTTCATCTGTGCATTTTCATGGTGCCCAGGATGGGTTGCACCGAGAGAGGGCACTTGGTGAATTCCACTGGTACCCAGCTGGTTACTGTGTCCTGAAGTGACCAGTTCTGGGTGTGCTCTGGCTACAGGTGCTCACAGGAGGAGCACAGAGGCACTTAGCTGGGCAGCCCCTGCTCTCCTTAGGCAATCCTGGTGCCTCTGGGCAGCCTTACTGATGAAATTGCCTTTCAGGGGCAACTTTGCCGTCACAGATCCTGATTATTCGTATTTTAAGAACCATTTTTCTTCTGTGTCTTTGCCAGCACCACCCCCAAGGGAGTAACAGCAGTAGATTGGTTATGCTAACCACCCCACTCAGGGGTTCGATTTTTTTTTTTTTAACAGCAACCCAGTCATTTATATAGTTGAGATGGACTCATCTTGAAACATCACTAAAGCCATTTAATTTTTTAAATCGTAACTCTAGATTTTTGTATCTATATTTCTGGTCCTCTCTTGATTCCCAGGGGATACTCTGAGAAGCAGGAAACCCAAGTACAGGCCTTTTTTTAGCTACTGTTTTTGGCCTTTCTCACCCCAAATGCTTACAATGTATAGCCGAGCAAGCGTGTATTAGAGAGTGTTTTGTATTTTGTTGGCATTTGCCCTTTTAACCATAAAGCTGATGTAGGCAAGGCAAGCACACGAGACGGGAGCAATTCTAGGCCTAACCAGAGAACGTGACGTGCTCCATTATTTTTTTCTCCTTTCCTTTAGTGTTTAGACCTGTGGACAAGACGTTGTGTTTGGGCCCTGCCCCTGCAGCCTCTCAGCTCTGCAGCACCCCTTGCTCTACAGACTGTGTAGTATCTTCCTGGTCAGCCTGGGGCCTGTGCATCCATGAACACTGCCACGATCCCCAGGGGAGGAAAGGTGAGTGGCTTGTTTGTTTGTGCTTCATTTATTTCCAGCATATGCATGTTTACTCTAGAGGCTAAGTAACCGATTAAGCCTGCTTAAGACAATATTTGTTTGTAAAATTTAGATAACCAGCTCAGGCCTGACAGCATTCAGTTACAGTATTAGGGAGACACAAGGGACATTTCTATGGAACAGAGACTCTGACCTTGATTGACCTTCCAGTTAGGCTCATAGGTAGTGAAGTGACTGTTACTCAAAAAGTGGTATAACTTGATGCTTTATATATGTAACTGGATACTGGGGAAATTAGACATGATTTCTGTAAACACATCAGGAAAGAAGTGTTTTGCATATGTGTTTTTGATTTCCACATGCTGAATTTGATGTATTTCATATGTTTATGAGGGGCATGTATGCATGTTTACTTTCAGATGTCCTCATGTGAAATCTTAAAGATTTGTGTGCTTGTTTACCTTTGTAGGCCTCTTAGTCTTGTTTTCTTTCGTTTGCTGTTAAAATACACATCTTCTTCTTTAAAAGTTTATTTCTGGTGACATCTTGACTTTTCTTTCATTGGTTCTTCCGTTTGCATTAATATCATGTCCCATTACATGGCAATACTAATAGGATGCATTCCCTTTATAAAGATAAATGAGATCAAAGACATTCCAGAAGGTAGGTTGCATTTCCGAAGCTCTCATTCTAGTTACACATGTAAAGAAAGAAGGCCTGGGCAAGTCTGAAGTCTCAAAGCTGGTGCTCATTGAAAACCCACATTCGAGCAGTCCTGCACAGCACAGATCACATAATGGGCACATCCAGGCTCACACACCATGCCCCTGGGCTTTTGTCTTCATTCTGTTCTAAGGCAGAAGAGAAAGGTGTGTATTGATCAAGTCTAAGGCAAGAAAAAGAAGCGAACTTTCATTTAGTTATCCAACAATAGAAATCTGGATCTCAGGGGACCCTGGAGTGGATGGGGGCTAGTGCTACTTTGTTATTTGACATGTAGCCATAAAATCCCCCAAGCCTTGTCCGTTTATGGAGAACAGATAATTTCTCATTAATACTGAGACCCACAATCCATGGTCTTAAGGTCCCCATGTGTACAGTTGGGCCATGTAAGTCTCTTGTAACTGCACATGAGACTTCCCAGCCTGACCTACGTACTCTGAGAACCAGCCCTCTTATGTTTGACCTGTGCCACTCTGTTTTAAGGTCGCTGTTTGGAAAATGACTTGTGTTGGGCTTCGGCTCCTCTGGCCTCTGTGGCCGCGCTGTCTGTGCTGGTGCAACTTACTGCCGAGTGTTTCTTCCTTGGTTTTCAAAGTGTAGAACCTACATTGGGCCAAGTGGGCCTTATGTTGTTTGGGACACTTCTTTTGGGGGGAGCATCATCCAAAGGTCTTGGGCCCCTGGACATTTTGGGTTATAGGTGACAGAAACACAATTCAAAGTGACTTAAGCCAAAGGAGGGAATTTATTAGCACATATAAAAAAAATAGAAGGGAAGATAAGGCTTCAGGTTATAGGTCTCAGTCTTTCTCATTCTTTCTTCTTTCTTTTATGATCTGTTTCTCCAGTCTTCTTTTCTCATTGCCTTTAGAATCTTCTCTCTCTCCATATTTTGGTTCTACCTTTCTCTGTATTAGGTTCAATTTATGGCAGGCCCTCTCTATGGGGTAAGGACAAGCCTTAAAAATATATTTTAGGTTACTAGATCCAATTGGGTCATAAAATCAAAAATTACATTTTATGTACTGTCTTTGAAACATGGTAATAAAATCAACATAGTGTCTTATAAAAGATGACATATTTTAATGGTCATTTTTCAGCTTTATTGAGATTTAATTGACATGTAACATTGTGTAATTTAAAAGTATACAACATGATGATTTGATATGCATGTATATTGTCAAATAATTACCACAATAAGATTATTTAACACATCCATCATATCACATATTTGCCATGTGTGTTTGTTAAGAAATTTTAAGATCTGTTCTCTCTCTGAACCCCCTTATGTTCATTATAACATTATTCACACTAGTCAAGACATAGAAACAACCTAAGTGTCTGTTGACAGGTGAATGGTTAAGTAAAATGTGATATATATCCATATGCACACACACACACATAAATACATACATACATATACACAAAGAAATGTTATTTAGCCATAAAAAGAAGGAAATCCTGCCATTTGTCATAACCTTGAGAGCATTATGCAAAGGAAATGTCAGACAGAGAAAGACAAATACTGTTTGATCTCACTTATATGTGGAGTCTTAAAAAAAAACCACAATGGAATTCAAGGAAACCGAGGTTAGAATGGTGGCTGTTTGGAGGAGTGGGGCACGGGCATCAGTGGGGATGGGGAGGTGTCATTCAAGGAATACACACTTCCATATATAAGATGAATCCTTTCTGTTCTAATGTACAGCATTGTGACTACACTTAACAATACTGGAGTGTATGTATACTTGAAAGTTGCTGAGAGTTGATCTTAAAATTCCCACCATCAAAACTAAAAAGATCATTTCCTTTTTAGATAGTAAATAAAGTAGACAGAAATGTCTTTCCCTGTAGTTCCAGGAAGAGTCCTGCAACTGAATCTCATTAGCTAGTAGGTGTCATGTGACCCAGTCACTGTGATGGGGGGCTGGGGGCTGGAGTGTCCAGGTCCAGGAAGGGACAGCTCTGTCCAGCCTCCCAGACTGAAGGTGGGAGAGAAGCAGCTCCCTGCAGGGAAATGAGCTGCTGATGCTGCCGGAGGTGGGAGCAATGCTCTGGGAAGATGTCATAGATGTTTCCTAAATGCTCTGTCCCCTTCATTCTGGGCCACAGTGTCTCTGCAGAAATCCAGACAGTCTCCTCCCAGTTCTCTGCTGTAATTTTTGTCACTTGAGCCCAAATTTTCACAAAGACTTTTGTGAAAAGCTGCTCTTTCAACTTCTATTTCAGCCTATCTTTTCCACATAACTCAGAACTGTGCATGGAACTCAGCTGGGGCACTCACAGCATTCTGACCCTCCATCTGCCGACCTTTGTTCTCATTGGCCCCTGTTCTCCTGTTGTAGAAGTCAACTCCTGCAGATATAACCGGTCCAGTACTGATTATTCATCACCTGCTGCGGGTTGAATGGTGTCCTCCAAAATTATATGTTTAGTGCTAACCCCAGTACATGTGAATGTGACCTTATCCGGAATTGGCTTTTGCAGACAGATGTAATGAAGTTAAAATGAGGTCAAATGTGATTAGGGTAGTCCCTAATTGAATGCCTGATGTCCTTATACAAAGAGGGGAATTGGGACAGAGAGATACACACAGAGAAGAGTGCCATGTGTAGAGACAGACATAGAAGACGCAGGAGAAGGACATGCAAAGACAGAGACAAATATAGCAGTGATATCCCCACAAGCCAAGGAATGCAGGCATTGCCGAAAACCACCGAAATCTGGGAGAGGCAGGAAGCAGCAGTCCTTCCCTGGACCATTCAGAGGGATCATGGCTCTAGGACACCTTGATTTGGGGTTTCTAGCTTCCAGAACTGTGAAATAGTAAGTTTTTCTTCCTTTACATCACCCAACTTATGGTACTTTACTTTGGCAACCCTAGGAAACTAATTAACAGCTCCAATTTGCATCCGCATTTAGACATAGCAAGGATATAACACTTCATAAAATGCCAAAACAAAAGTGTAGAGAAGTAAAGCAATTTGTCCTAAATCCAATAGTGATTTAATAATGTTCATGCCAGCAATAAGGACCTGGGTTTCTGTTTCCTCTGTTGAGTGTTCCTCAAGGACTAGGCTTTCTTAGTGATTTTCTCCATAAGCCTAAATAAGTTTGAATCAAGACACGGGAGTCTCCCTGGGGTTAGCAGAGAAGCCCTCTGCCTGCGTTCACCTCCTTGGCCAGTGGGAACCATTAGCCTTGGGGGCCAATCTTTGAGCTGATAGTAGATAAGGTGTGGGGTCTGGGATACCTCCCTGCACCAGCATACTGCCTTTGAGGGAGAGGAAAATCAACTGCAGTGTGTGAGAAAGGGAGGGTGTGCCGAGAGCAGCTTGAGAGCACCAAGTAACAGGGATGTGTATTTTGTGCCCCAAACAGCATATTTTTTTCAAAGGAAAAAGGAGAGACTAGAACTTCTCACCCGAGTGTCACCAAAGCCTCCTGCAGAGTCTAGGGGCAGGCTGGGATTGATAAGCAATTAGACTCTGTTTTATGGGACTCATACTGAGGTGAAATAACTTGCTATAGGCACTAAGTAATTGCAGACAGGAAAGAGTGTAAATACAATGATTATTATTCAGGTCTGGGAGTTTGTTATTTTATAAAGGCTTCCCTAGAGCAGAGAGAATTTTGATTTTTAAGGACTTGCTAAAACCTGCCATGACCACCTGCTTGTAATCCCTCTTGGGACGAATAGAAAATGGAGCTTTTCCTCCAGGGAAATGAGTCTGTGCTACCAGCAGTCCAAGCATGTCATGATGACAGGAAGCAATCTTCTTGTTATTTCTGCTGACTTGTGAGCATGGGGTCTGAGACCTCTCAGTCTCGGTCTGTCTCATGCTGCTACCCTGGGTTCTGCCAGAGTCACCGACTGGCACAGGCTAGACGTGCTATAGACTTGCAAGGAGGCTGGAGTGCCCAGGCTGGTGCGTTCAACACTGTCGACCTCTGGAGGTCACCTGCACTGTTCAGCTTCACGTTGAATTCTCTACCCTAAAGGAATGCAGTGAGGCCCTGGCTGGTATGGCTCAGCAGTTAGAGCGTCAGCCTGTGGACCAAAGAGTCACGGGTTCTACTCCGGTCAAGGACATATACCTTGGTTGCAGTTTGTCCCTGGTCCTGGTCGGGGTCATGCGGGAGGCAACCAGTCAGTGTGTCTCTCTCATATCCATGTTTCTGTTCCTCCCTTACACTCTATCTGAAGATAAATAAAATATCTATCTATCTATCTATCTATCTATCTATCTATCTATCTATCTTTGGGTAAGAATTAA